CGGTCTCGGTCTCCCGAATTTCCGCGCGTACGCCGCACCCACGCGCGCCAACGGTGGGGACCAGATCCTTGGTTTCCTTTGCTGTGCTGGGTCTAACCTTAAGCCATTATTTATATTCACCAAATTAAATTTGTCGGCAGTTGTTTTACGGTCGCGTTACGTCGGACTTTGTTTGTTTAAACGGTGTTTTGTGGCCTATGTATTGTTTGTTTTTCACCGGTGTTCCCGCGTTCAATTTACCCGTTGGTTTGATTCCCTCCTGAGATTTGTCACTCAGATTCGGCGGTATCCGGATGTCCCTTTGGATTTAATGAGTGTGTGATTTATTTCCTTTGTTTTGGGGTGACATTGTTCACGCATGTTGATCCTTTCCTCCGACATTCTTTTGTGTCGATCCTGTTGTCAGTTTATGATTGATTAGAATTCGTAATTTTTGAGTAGTTCGGTGTTAGATTAGTGTTGTTATGAGTTATGTTCCTAGGTGTGTTAATTTTCTTGCTGCTCGTTTATGCTCTCGCAGACAAGGAGTGTCTCGGAGTCTCACTACTGTCAGACGCCCGGAACCTGAGGGAGGGGGCCTTCTACGACGGCTTTCCCCGGCCTTACCATGAGAGTAGGGTAGTGAGAGAGCTCACCAACGCTCCGGCCCTGCAGCTCCTTTGACGCGTCGAGTCACGTGTGGTGTGTGTGTGTGTGTGTCGTGTGTGTGTGTGTGTAAGTGTGTGTGTGTGTGTGTCCAAGAATTGTTCGGGTCCTTCCGTCGGCCGACATTGTGGGGGGAGGGATTCTGTGTGGGTGTCTCAAAAATCACTTGGTATTGTGTATATGAGCTATTGCTTGTGCTGTGTAGTGATGTGATTGAGTTGGACTGTTTCGTAGTCGGTTGGTAGGAGGACTAGGACCGTAGGTCTACCCACACAGATAGCAACATTAGGGCGTGTTAGTCTCGGGGTAAAGTACTCTTGGACTGACACGACCCTGTGCGGTTCTCGGTCTTATACCTCCAAGAAAACAACACACGTGTATTGTCCGCCTTGTGGATGGTATGGCGGTTCTCCTGTACCTATATTGTTGTAGCTGTATAAATTTCCACAACGGATTCTCGAATTCTTGGTTCAGGTTGGTTCATTCTAGAGCTATGTGCTGACTAGTGCGCAGAGGAAGCCCAATTTGAATAGCCCTGCTCAGCTGTATTCAGTGTCCTGCCTATGATATCAGATCGGCTACGCACACGTCGGATCCTAGAGCTTTGGCTGTAGGAGTGCTCCTCGTTCGGTGTTAGAAGACCGTAAGGGGAGAGTGTGTCGGAAATCCTCTGTGGTGGCCGTGTTTTATGAGTGCCCAGGTCTGTTACCTGTGTTGTTAGTTTATACTTTTGAAAATGAG